TAGGGAATAAAAAAGGAAGGAAAATATAGAGGAAAATCAGGAGGAGATAAATTCGAAGGAAAACAATAAATAGGTATGAATTTAGTAATTCAATTTCATACTCCGTATATTGTTTCAAGCTCATTTTACTATCTATTTATTTTTGATATATAGATACTAAAATATCTAAAGAAGTAAATCTTTAAGGAACTTTATCTATTATTTCCTCTGTCCCAAAAATATCGTCTCACTTCAAACGAAGTGCAAAATCTCATCTCTTTTAAAATAATTTTATTTATAAATTGGTATAGAAATTAAAAGTACAAATTACATATTTCAAAACTACATCAAAAGTTCTATAAACCAAGATGTGACAATAATATTTTATTTTATCAAATGATCAACGAAAATATACGCATAAACAAAAGTTATCGAGAGGCCAAAATTGTAATTGCGATGGAGGAAGTATTATTATTATTGTTGTTGTGGTTGTGGTTGTTGTTGTTATCCATGACAAAAGCAAGTTAATGAATGTTATTTTTCTTATCGTTTTTTATTCCCCTAAAATTCTCTTGGGCCGAGAATCTCACAACCTATTAAAGTTGGGGGTATATTTTTCAAGCTTTGCTAAAGGACTAAACACCCAAGGGTTCATACGGCATGATCAAAATTTCTTTTTCTATTATACGAGTAATTATCATATATTCATATATCTTATTTTCCTAGTTTCTCTTTTTCCCATCAAGAACCATACATTATATGCGTTGCTTCCACAATGCAAACATGTTTGCAGCCCGATGTGTTTAGTTCTGATTTTGAAGGACTTAAGGAACCGCATATTATATACCTTGTTTATTACGTAGTATGCAGTTTTAGTCTGCTAGGAAAGTAGTTATTTTACTGATTAATTTTTTGCACACAATTCTGGAAAACCAATGTCCTTATGCCTATGTAACTGAGTTTCTACAAGGGTTTCTGTTTTGAATTGCAGTTCCAGAGATTGAACAAGGATTGTCAGAAGCTACAAATTCAAAAGTTACTGTTAGTTTTACACCACATTTAATGCCAATGGTAATAGTAAAAAAAGGCTATGCATTGGAGTTGGGTTTTGGAGGAGAATTGTTATTTTTATTTTTAAATAATGACAATTGTATATGCACTATGATATAATAATTGCAAATGACTAGAATCTTCATACTAATACCATTTCCGTATATATATTTTATTTCTAAAATTTATCAAGTTACAACAGTTTTCTAAAATAAAAAAAGAAAAATAATAACCCCTGACCTTTCCTTCAAAACCTTTTAGAGTCCAACCCAACATAGCCTAAAACTTGCTTCCATCTCCACTATGCTTGGTTGTTCATCTATGTAATTAGTTATGTTGTTTATTTTCTCTTGTTGATTTGTAGAGCCGTGGCATGCAATCAACTATGTACGTAGAAATGGCTCCGGGAGTGACAACTGATGAGCTATACAATCACTTAAAGAGAAGTTATGAGGTTTGTTGATGCTTGTGTCTTAACTTCTTTCTACTTAATGATCACATTTGTTTTTCAAAACTTGCAAAATTTGTTTCTTTTTAAATATTAACTTCTTCCAACGCTTCTATCCTTGAGTGATATATATGACTGGTTTGTTTAGTTTTCGACACGGAAAGGGTAAAAATTGATTCTTTAACCCAACCACTTTAATCCATCCAGAACGAAGAGTTTGTAGTATTGCTGAAGGACAAAGATGTTCCGCATACCCGACATGTCCGAGGATCAAATTACTGCCTCATGAATGTGTTTCCGGATCGAATTTCTGGGAGAGCAATTATTATATCAGTTGTAAGTCTGTTTGACATCACGCTGTACTTTCTGAGTATTGGATGAAGCATTTTTTGCAATTGTTTTCGCGCTAACAGTCTGTTTTTTATGTCGCTGCATGCAGATTGATAATCTTGTGAAGGGCGCGTCTGGGCAAGCGTTACAGAACCTCAACTTGATGATGGGTATTCCTGAAAATACAGGGCTACATTGCTTACCTTTATTTCCTTGAGTTATTATTATTATTTTGTCTAGCTTTGTTATCATCATTCATCAACAAGTTTTTTCTTTACCTTAAAAAAATACGGAGTATTTTTCTCGATGTTAGATCTCCAATTTCCTCTATGCATAAGTGAAAATAAGCTATGCTACAAAGCAATTAAAGCTTGTATGTATACTA